TCCATATCTAGTACCGATGGAATTCTTCTTCAATCTCTTTCCTCTTTCTTCCGCTACTATACACGAACTATAATAAAAATAAACCAGTCAGCACTGCTCACTCTCAAGGTTCATTCTCTGGCGGCATATATGTAGAACGTTAATAACGTCTAGCGAACCAAACTTTTATTGTAATCTAGGTGTAGCAACGATTGGAGTGGAAATAATGATTTCAGTTGTGATAATAATTTCGGCTCGCAATATATTTTGATTGTAATAATATTTTTGTTTGTATTAACCATTTTTAGTTAATTCTTAATAATGATTTAATTTGTGATAATGAGCTTATTGATAATTTTAGTTTAAAATAATTTCATTTATGCGTAATCTTTCTCTATTTCTTATTGCTTTCTTTACCTATTAATAATAGATAAGTAAGTTTAAATAAACGATGTTAATAATTTTACATCTCTCTCATTCTCTTATTTAAAAACCCTGAGACCTCGTAGCCGTTAGCCTTGCTTTTTCAGAGATCGCGCGTGGTCCAGTCCCGAATTAAAGGGATTAGATTCCTTGACTCGAAATTGGGACCGACGACCGCACCGCTCGTAGGAAACAGGTGTTAAAGCGTCCTTACGGGACATTGACCCATATTCCGAACAAAAGGGGTGCGTTCGACTTGCGGCACTCGCCTCCGTGCGGGTACCTGCGAGAAAAGAGTCTGACCGTCCTTCCAAGTACCCTCACCGTTCCCGCTGCTTCTATTCTCCGAGAGGATCACAAGTAAAAAGTTTCCAAGGGTTTGGACGTAACAGACCAAATAAATTTTTGGGGGCTCGTCCGGGATGAATAGTGCGATTTTTATGGGGCAGGTATGAATACGAGGTCTACTTTTGATAAAAGTGAAATTGATGATCTTTATAAAGCCGCTATAGAGAATCAGGGCAAATTTAAACACAATAATCCTACGTTATGTACATCCACTCCTACGACCTCTAAGTTCTCATCTGAGCAGGTCGATTTTTCATTGGACGATTCTAAGATAGTAAAAGATTTGTCAAAAACTTTAACCAATACGCTTGTTTACGACGATTACGAAGATATAACGATTCAACCGGGAGACAGAACTAACCTTACGCCTAAAGTAAAAAGAAATAAAACAATGTCGAACCCAAATCCATTCGCCACCTTAAAATACGCGATCGAAGCCGTTCCCTTTTTCGATGGCAAAAACATTCCTTTAAGCTATTTTATTGAAGGATGCGAGGAAGCGAAATCCATGTTACCAGATGAAGCCGAATCGCAATTCACTAGAATTATAAGAACAAGAATCGTAGGCGAAGCTCGTCGCACCGTACAAGGCCAAGACTTCGATAGAGTGGCACAATTAACAAAATACCTGAAACAAGCCTATGGCCCTTCGAAAAATATATATCAATTGCAAGGGGAATTGGGGCGTATTTACCAAAAGAGCGACGAAGATGTAGTAACGCGAATCGAGTAAAAATATTAGGAAAACAAATTATGGAAGCACATAAAAATTCAGAAAATGTTTCTCCCGACCAAAATATTAAATCATCTTTAGAAAAAGATATGTGCAAATGTTTTATTAGAGGCTTAAAACCTGAAATCGAACAGAGAATAGCTAGGAATTGGAGCGTTCAAGAAACCGTGGCAGACGCCTTACGAATTGAAAGAGAACTTAATTCAATGACTGATTTACGACGGGGTCAGGTAGATATTTCGGATATAACAAATACCAATAAACGGGAAATTTGTCAGATATGTTATAAGGAAGGGCATTTAGCTTCGAATTGCAGAAAATTATCTAACTCGGGAACAGAGATTTTAATATGTCAAATTTGCAAGAAACGCGGGCACAGTGCTGACAAATGTCGACTTCGCGACCCTCTAACGCGACAATCTGTTAATATTTTACAAGAGAGTAATATAATTTGTCAATTATGTCCTAAATCTGGCCATAATGCTAAAAATTGCCGAATTAATAATAACAGTAATCAGAGCAAACTCTCCATAATCTGTCAGTGGTGCGAAAAGCCAGGTCATTCGGCTAATAATTGTTGGAAAAAACAAAACGAGCAACGTAACTCGGAAAATAAAGTAACCGTTTGTCAAATTTGTAATAATTTTGGGTATATTGCTAAAGATTGTCAATTGAAGATGGGACAAAACGCGGCACGTAAGGATTCGTTATTCTGACGTTATTGTAAAGAGCAGGGACATCTTCTTGAAAATTGCAAATTACGCATCGCGAGTAACAACCGAAAGCAAACAAACAATCAGGGAAACTCCGTCGGCCCCTCGAAGCCGGGTGAGCAACAGGGGACCGAACGGGCCTCACACCCACCGTCATCACAAAAAACTCAGTAGGAAAAACCGCGCCGGAAGTACAACCGGGGTAACGGTAAATCTCGACAAACATAGTCGCGTGCCTACCGTTCAGGTAAAGCTTCACGAAACCGCTCCATGTATAACGTTTATGTTAGATACCGGTATTCTGGACCATATATAATTAAAGAAAATTTTGCATCTAAGGGAAGCACTGTCAATCATAGTAATATATTGGAATTAAATGGCATAAATGAATATCCTGTATATACTCTTGGAGAAATAACTTCACTGCTTTTTGAAAATAAAGTAACCTTTCATATCGTATCAAATGATTTTCCAATTACACAGTTAGGGATATTGGGTAATGATTTTTTCAAACAGACTTCCTCAAAAATAGATTACGCGAAGGGATATTTAGATATATCAGGAATTACTATACCTTTTTTTTCTCCAGAGACCATTACAGTATCACCAGGATCGGAATCATCGTCTTATATAAGGATAGGAAATATTGAAATTAAATTAGGATATATCCCGAGATTAAAGGTAGCTCATGGCATTTATTTAGGAGACACCATAGTAGAAAGTGTTTCCGGAAAAGCGTATTTAAACGCTATAAGTACTCTGAATGAAGAAGTGGAGGTCCAGGTACCAACTTTGCGCCTAAAACCTTTAGACGAACTATTCGATAATCATAAACCAAATATTGAAGCGCAGGATGATCGAGTAAAAGCCACAGAAATGCAGGCTGACTTTATGTATCCAGAAGATAATCGAAAGCATTGCGAAATAATTAACAGCGATGCATATTCAAACAATGACGAAGACGAGGATATGAATAACAAAGATATAGAAATTACAATTAAGAATTCTAAATTAATTAATTGCACTGCCCAAAATGAGGGTGAGAATAAAATTGAAAGGAAAAATAAAGATATTATGAGAAAAGATGAAAAAATTAGTAAAAATTCCAATCTAGAGGAGGAATGCCAAACCTTCTGCGAGGCTCTAGATTCTAAAATCCTTGGAGGGGGAAGTTACCAAACCCCTCCTCGAAATTTATACGATTCCAAAATCCTTAGAGA